CTCACTCTCTAATTCACTCACTCTCATTCACTGACTCACTCTCACTCACTGACTCATTCACTCACTCACTCACTTTCATTCACTGACTCACTCTCACTCACTCACTCACTCTCTAATTCACTCACTCTCTAATTCTTTCACTCACTCACTCTCTCACTCACTCTCTCATTCATTCACGCACTCTCTCACTCACTCACTCTCTAATTCTCATTCTCACTCTCTCACTCACTGACTCACTCTCTCACTCTAATTCACTCACTCTCATTCACTGACTCACTCTCACTCACTCACTCATTCACTCTCTCTCATTCACTCTCGCACTTACTCTCTCATTCATTCACTCATTCACTCCCTCACTCACTCACTCTCTCACTCACTCTCATCCACTGACTCACTCACTCTCTAAAAAAAAGAAAAAAAGAAAAAAGATAAAAAATCATTTTATCGTACAGCTCTCATCACAATCCATACATCCATCCATAGTGTCAAGTACATTTGAACGTTTGCTGCCCTCATCAACTTCTTTACAAAGATATGAAGATGCAATTGGAATCGTCATCCTTTTACTAATTAGCCGTTATAGACTACATAAATGGGAAGCCGCGCCCTGGGGAAACTGGTGCAAACAACGGAGCGGCGGAAAGGTCCAGGCAAACATGGATGGCCAATCAGGCTCGTTGCCTTGCACCTCACACACCTCGTCATTTCCTGTTGCTGGATACTGTTCCATGTACCTTCTTCAACAAGAAGAAGCAATTCTTCTGTGGCTGCCTTTTCACCATCAACCAGTTTGGATAGTTTTTCAGCTGCAAAAAATAAGAACAACAACATTTGGTCAAGAGAAAAGGTTAGGAACTTTGTGTTTCTGCTTGACTAGTACACCCGAGCCAGTTAAAGGACCCAACAAAGTGCGATAAAGAACACTTCCTAAGAAAAGAAGTAACAGGAAGATAATTGTCTCTTTCCCAATGGCCTCACAATCCAGTGTCTTAGAACTATTCTTCCCAGCTCTCTACACCAAACAGTGAAGCAATGAAGAGCAGGTGCCATACCTAGAGACTCTCTGATGAGGTTGTACTGAGCATCTTCATTTCTACACTTGTAGCTCAAAATCACATTGGCCACTTTCATATCAACTCGGAGCTTGAGGCTGTCAAGGCCAAGCAATTCTAAGAAACAAACACAGGCAGCTCCTATTGAAGGTATGTGGAAGGAGGAGAGCCCTAAAACATAGGCTTCATGGCCTACCTGCTGAATCCTGAGGGGGTAAAAAAAGGAATCAGTATCATTATCAATAATCAAAATGGTTAACTATAAAAAAATCAAGTGAACTTAAGAGTAGGCCGTAGTGGAGGAACTGTGGATTTAAAAGGGTTAACCAAAAGCCTCGAACCAACGCATTGCCACCTGGTCCATTCCGACTTATAGAAGAAGTCCATATCCTCCTATAGGATAGAGTAGAACTCCCTCTGTGGAAGCAGGCAGCCTCAGCTTTCTCCCAAGGAGTAGTGAGTGAGTTTAAACCACCAACATTGCAGTTAACAGCCCAGTGCTTAACTCGCTGTGCTAGTATGGCTCCTCTGAAAAGGTTCAAGACACACACACACACACACACACACACCAGAGAAATGGGATTATTCCAGGAACGAGAGGGTGGTTACCATGAGTCACTGTCACATACCACATTAACAGAATGAAGAAAAGAACCACCTGATCATTTCAAGTGGTGCAGAAAAGGCTTTAAGACAAAACCCACCACCCTTCCTAGGACGCTCAGAAAAGCATGCACACTCACTATCCAAATGTAATCACTGTTAACTAACTGTAGGATGTTTCCATGATTTCTTGAAGTATTTTATCCAAATATATGTAAAACATGCCTTTTTAGAATATAAATTATGGTCTAAATACTCACAACTGCTTGGGAGTTTTGCTCTTGATTAATTCCTGGACTAGAAATGTACCAAATGCAAATGATGGTCGTCCATTATGTAGGTAATAAGCAAAATTCAGACGCTCCACTACAGCATATTTATTAACGAGGTCAGGTCTAGAGAAATGTGGGAGATCACTTGATACATCTGGTGGAGGGAATACAGTAGCATTAATATGTTGCATCTCATCACAATTAATTTCAGATGTTCGCATAAGAAGCTTAACTCCTGGATGGCAAAGAGACGGCAGTTGTTATAATCATTCTGCACCACCCCAGATTACTTTGAGTCTAGCACACCCAAACCCAAACCATTGCTGTTGAGTTGATTCCAGCTCACAGAAACCCAGGGGACAGAGCAGAAACGCACCCAGAACCGTCATCTTTACAGGCGCCGACTGCCACACCTGTCTCCCCAGCAGTAGTTCAAGCACTCACCGCTGTGCCGTACGTGCTCCTTGAACCCACCCCAATGTCATCATTTCGGTTTTGCTTCATTATATAAAAGTAGTTTGCATTCTATTTTTCTTTTTAATGTACACTTGAGGAGCTGCATAAGACTCATAAAATTGTGCTTTTGCAAATGTGGCGAAGAAAGCTGATGGTGCTCGGCTATCAAAAGGTATAGCATCTGGGGTGTTAAAGGCTTGAAGGTAAACAAGTGGCCATCTAGCTCAGAAGCAACAGAGCCCACATGGAAGAAGCACACCAGCCTGTGTGATCATGAGGGTGTCAAAGGGATCAGGTATAAGAACAAAAAATCTTACCATAGTGAATGAGGGAGGGAGTGTGGAGTGGAGACCCAAAGCCCATTTGTAGGCCACTGGAGACCCCCTTACAGTGGTGTCTCGGGGAGGGGACAAGCCAATCAGGGAGCGATGTAGCAACGATGAAAAATACAACTTTCCTCTAGTTCCTAAATGCTTCCTCCCTGCCCCCACTATCATGATCCGAATTCTACCTTGCAAGTCTGGCTAGACCAGAGGATATACACTGGTACAGATAGGACCTGGGAACACAGGGAATCCAGGGTGGATGATCCCTGCAGGACCAGTGGTGTGAGTGGCGATACTGGGAGTGTAGAGGGAGAGTGGGTTGGAAAGGGGGAACTGATTACAAGGATCTACATGTGACCTCCTCCCTGGGGGACGGACATCAGAAAAGTGGGTGAAGGGAGACGTTGGACAGGGCAAGATATGACAAAATAATGACATAAATTATCAAGGGCTCATGAGGGAGGGGGGAGGGAGAGGAAAAATGAGGACATGATGCCAGAGGCTTAAGTGGAGAGGAAACGTTTTGAGAATGATGAGGGCAATGCATGTACAAATGTGTTTTACACAATTGATGTATGTATGGATTGTGATGAGAGTTGTATGAGTCCCTAATAAAACGATTAAAAAAAGTGTGCTTTTGTTTCTCCATTAAATTTACTAAAAAGTTTAGGTGATAAACTTTGCTGATCTGTTAGGCCCACAAGAACAATAATCAACAGCTCTGCAGCTCCAAACTGATAAATGGCTCATGAGCTACAAAGGCAGCATGTCAATCATTCCTGCAGCACATGATGCAATGAAATCCTCTCAACATACTTGAGTCCTCTATTGACCAAGGCCAACGTGCTGTACCAACAAATACTAATTATTATTGAGTGCAGACGATTTGCTCCATATTAATATCCTCCAATTTTCTTTTGCTCTCGCCAATGATACTTTATGATACTGTATTCACAAGTGACTTATTACCTACATGATGGTACTACTTTTCCAAGACCAGCTGGTAGCTCAGTTTAAAGTTCTCATATGCCCAAGAGAGTATTAGATCATACATATTTTATTTTGTGGAGAAATTGAAAGTCAGAGATATTTGGATGTGAAATCGCCATTCTGGTCAAACCCTGATTTCTGTCTCTTAACCACTTACTAACCTATGAGAGAAAAAAATGTGATAAAATAATATATGTGAACTGTTTATTTGTTCATTAAACACCTGTTCAGAACTTGTGCTACAGACTGCTCTCCTAGGGCTTGAACCAGTCATTTTGAAGTTTTCCTCCAGTAAGATGCAGGCTGGAGCCGAGTGAGGAGCAGGGAACCTTAATGGGGCCTGCTGCAGAGGCAAACCTTACATCCCCTTTCAACGCTAATATCAGATGAACAAAGAGGTAAGCATTCTAATAAAATATAACTCATAAAGTTTATAAATATTGTTTTCATAATAATAGTTTCATCTACTTCATATTTATTCCCTTAACTACATCTTAAACCGCTAAAAACCAGGCAGCAGACATGCCTTCAGCTTTTGTGTCCCTACTGCCCATACTGGAGGGCTCAGTCCTCAAGAGGGGATCACGGTGTGGGCTAGGGGTGGAGGTGGGGTCAGTGGAGAGGGGCTTCCTTCTACCCTCAGTAACCTCACTGAGAACAGAAAGCATGCACACATCTGAAGATGCAGCGAGCATGCTCTGCTCAGCACTCACTCACCAATGGTCACCACACAGCTGCTACTGGCCTGGGACTGCACTGAGTTCTGGGCGCCTATTAAGTTCAATGTGTCAAAACTCGAACTTAGAAACCTGACACATTGGCAAATTCGTTTTTATGTATGATACATACTTGTGGGGTACATACTTTGTGCAAAGTAGGAACCTGAAGCTGTGAATAATAGTAACACGGGCAGAGGCGTCACTAGTAAAATATTAAAGGCTAACTCTGAAAGTAAGAGAAACAGTCAAAACAGAGTTTAAGGAGGACAAAAAAAACAAAATTCCTTTGGTCTACAGAGGACAGCAAGGCACCTGCTTCTAGCACTTCCATTGTACTGGGACCTGAGAGCTTTCAAATGCCTCCTTCCCTCCATTCTCCTGGTCAGGTGTGAGTGGCCTTGGGACTGACCTTTGTCTAGGACAGTGGTTCTCAATCTTCCTAATGCCGTGACCCTTTAATACAGTTCCTCATGTTATGGTGGCCCCCAACCATAACATTATTTTCATTGCTACTTCCTAACTGTAATTTTGCTACTGTTATGAATCATAATGTAAATATCTGATATGCAAGATGTATTTTCATTGTTACAAATAAACATAATTAAAGCATCGTGATTAATCACAAAACAATATGTAATTATATATTGTGAGATATTTATGTGTTTTCTGATGGTCTTAGGCGACCCCTGTGAAAGGGTCGTTCAACTCCCAAGGGTGTCGCGACCCACAGGTTGAGAACCACTGGTCTAGGGAATCAATCACCTGTCTAAGGGCCCATCGCTGTCACTTGGCACAGCCAGAGTTGGTCTACTGCCATCACCTAGCACCTATACTCATATTCTTTCTAATACAAACAAGATGACTGAGGGCTGAGGAAACAGAAGCAGGTAGGTCTGCATGCCACCTCTCAGTGGAGACAGCACCAATGACCCACGACAATGATTAAGTCACACCATATTTCAATTTCATCTTCTCCAAATGTCTTAAAGGTGCCTTTATTTTTAAGGTGGAAAGCAGTGAAAATCCTGGCTTGGCATGATCTAAAGGAGCCCTTGCTGTCCACTGCCGAAACGCATCCCCAACAAGCAGCACCTTTACTGACTTACCTCCTATAGCCAGCGTGTTGGCGGGCTGCCAGCCAAACAATCTGCTGGGATCAAAGGGCGACAAGGACTGAAAAAGGGAAAAGTAAAACTGATTGTACTGAAAAGTTAATTGACTCTAAAACAAACACATTTTATGAAAGGATTAATCTTTCTGGACATCAACACTCTGAACACAGCTGAAAACAAACACAAAAGGGATGTACGGCCACTTTCCTGCATTCATTTGGCTTTGTTCCTTTTAAAGGCTCACCTTCAATCTGCAAAATATACTCTTGGTAACAGCAATGTTAATTATAAAATGGGCTTTTAAAATGGTTGAGAATCAGAAAGCAAGGGAACTAAGACTCTTCCTTTCTGGCACACTTTTAAAGAAGTCTTTGCCCTGAAAACGGTTAAAAAACACCACAGGCGCCAGGCTGGATTCACTGAGAGTGGTTAGAGTGCACGTGTTCCAGCTGGGGCATCCTCTGAAGCAGCAGAGAGGTCTGCTAGTCTGCTCGCAGATCCACTTCCTACCCTGCCGCTGTTTTTTGCAGGGAACGCCATCTCCACACTCCCTTATCCATGGGCTATCTGAAAGTTTTACTCACAAGAGACCACTGGAATGTTAAGGTGGGAGGAGAGGAAAAACCAAGATCATTTTTCACCACTCTCTTTTCTGGGGCACCTTCTCTAAGCTTCTAGCCCCACCCTATATGGTCCCAGGTCCCATTAGGCAACTGTTGAAAATGTAGGTCTCCGAAGATGGTCCCAGGGTCTCGGCTGATTAATGCCACCTTCTTGCACTGTGGGTCCTGCCTCAGGGGTGCTGATCATTTTCTTCTTGCTAATCTTTGGGTTTTCTCACCAACACATGCTTGGCTTCTCCATTCCTCTCTGGAAGCAATTAAATTCCCTCCATTTGAAAGATCTGAAGTGGTTTCTGTTATCCAGGATAAACCCTGACTGATACACAGGCCACCTAAATTCTGTACCTGAATGAGGTGGTAGAGTGTAATATCGTGTGGCAGGATATGAGGAGGCGAGTACTGTGGGAAGAGAGCAGATTTCAGCTTGGGGTAAGGAGTCAATGCCATCTTCAGTAGCTGGGGATCTACTTTCTTCAAAGAGTTCTCGTTTTCTTCATTCTGAACCACCTATGTAAAAAGACAGCAGCGTAATGCTTTTCCCTTCTCAACATTTAAGGTTTTTTTTTTCCACGGGAACCTCATAAAACAAGATGAACTTGGGTATGCTATTGAGAACACCACTCGACAGGAAGTCAAAAAACAAGCGCTCTAGTTCTGGTTCTAAAGCAAATTAGCGGTGACCATCTTGTCCTAGAAAATTCACTCAGGCCTCAGACTCCTCAAATATAAAATTATAAAAATTGAGCTGGGTGAGTGGTCTTCAGACTGTATGTAAAGAAACTACTTGAAGAGGTTCTACTATAATGTTTAAACGCTCTTAGACTGTATGATTCCTAGGTCTTTTCAAGTTATTCTGTGACTCTAGTTTTTGACAAGTGATTACAAACAGAATGATTTATTCAACTTATATTTTAAAGCTTACTACACAAATCTAAAAGATTAATCTAATGATTAATCTGGTTCTGGTGAAATCATGGGAGTAGGTGCAGCTGGCTGCCTCTCAGCCTGGAATATTTAAAACTGGGAATTCTCAGTTATTTCTTATTGTGCCTGTACAAATTCCATGGTGCCACTTCTGCTTTTGAGGGTGGTACCACACGCTTGGTTGGAGTGATGTCATTGGCCTGGGGCACATCTATTTCATAGGGCGGAGTTACCTCTGTTTTGGGAGGCAAAGTCACAAGTCTGACCTGCTGAACTTGAATTCTTCTGCACCTGCAGTTTGCTTGTTTCTGCTGACCTGGCTTCATCACCCACTGAAGCCACTCAAGAGAGGCCACCAGTTTAACATCGGCACATGGACCTGAAACAACTAGATTTACACGCTTCTACAACTGTGTATTTTCCTGATAGAAATCTCAATCTATATTTTTATATAGAATGAGCACCAGGTGTAAATTTTTGAGTGAAATACTCTTAATTTAAAAATTAATTTTCTACTAAAAAGAATAAAAACAATGATTTCTGAAGATGTTTTACAGCATTCTGAAGTTTCCTCCCTGCCCCTCAACAGAGTTTCTATGGGCAGTCAAAGATACTAATTCCCTTTTTCTATAAGAGGGCAAATAGTAGAGAATACTTTCCAAACCCTACATCTGAAGTATCTTTACTCTCAGAAGCAAACAGATACTGATTCCATCTGGAAACAAACCTAAATTATTAGAAAATTAAAGGGGAATAAAGAGTATAACATTTTAGTCCCCTCATTAAAAAGTTTTTAAATTCAACTATTTTTTAGTTCTTTCATCTAATGAAATACTTGAATGTTGCTGTATTTTAATGTCATCTGAGCTCCAGAAAGTCTATAGGTATTTCTGCTAAATCTCAAGCTAGTCCTTCTGCACCCTAAGAGGGAAGTGGCAGTCATACCTGGCTGACCCCCCCGGGAGCATACATCGTGGTAGCAAGGGCCAAGAGGGTGTGTCCATCCAACAGCATGCTGCTCACGCTGGCTGGGTTGCTAGGAATCAGTATCTGCGCATTTGCAAGACTAGCCTGGAAGATCAGTTTGGGATCTGGAAAATGAAAGAGTGTGTTTGTCTTCTAAGAGTGAAAAATATTAAGAATTACATTAATTCTGAAAAAGACAAAATTTTTTATTGATCATTTTATTGAAGGCTCTTACAAATATTATAACAATTCGTAACTCAATTACATCAAGTGAACTTGTATAGTGCTTTCATGATTTTTTTAAATTAAAAAATCATTCTATTGGGGGCTCAGAAAACTCATCACAATCCATACATACATCAATTGTGTAAAGCACATTTGTACATTTGTTGCCATCATCATTCTCAAAACACTTGCTCTCCACTTCAGCTCTTGGCATCAGCTCCTCATTTTCCCCCTTCCCTCCCCCCTCCCCCTATGAACCCTTGATAATTTATAAATTATTATTATTTTGTCATATCTTACACTATCCGACATCTCCCTTCACCCACTTTTCTGTTGTCCGTCCCCCAGGGAGGAGGTTATATGTAGATCCCTGTAATTGGTTCCCCCTTTCTACCCCACCCTCCCTGTATCGCCACTCTCAGCACTGGTCCTGAAGGGATCATTCACCCTGGATTCCCTGTGTTTCCAGTTCCTATCTGTACCAGTGTACATCCTCTGGACCAGCCAGATTTGAGCCCGGCTATCAAAAGATATAACGTCTAGGGTCTTAAAGACTTGAAGGCAATCAAGCGGCGATACAGCTCAGAAGCAACAACGCCCACATGGAAGAAGCACATCAGCCAGTGTGATCATGAAGTGCCGAAGGGATCAATTATCAGGCATCAAAAAACAAAAAAAAGAACAAAAAATCCCATCATTCTGTGTTCACCTCCCCTATATGATCACTGAAGACAAATGGGTGCATAAGCAAATGTGGTGAAGAAAGCTAATGGTGCCCGGCTATCAAAAGATATAGAGTCTGGGGTCTTAAAAGCTTGAAGGTAAACAAGTGGCCATCTAGCTCAGAAGCAACAAAGCCCACATGGAAGAAGCACACCAGCCTGTGTGATCACGAGGTGCCGAAGGGATCAGTTATCAGGCATCAAAGAACAAAAAATCATATAATTGTGAATGAGGGGGAGTGCAGTATGGGGACCCAAAGCCCATCTGTAGGCAACTGGACATCCCCTTATAGAAGGGTCGTCAGGAGGAGATGAGCCAGTCAGGGTGCAGAGCAGCAATGATGAAAAATACAACCTTCCTCTCCGTTCCTAAATGCTTCCTAACCCCCCACCCCCACGCCCCTGACAATCATGATCCCAATTCTACCTAATTTTTTTATCATTTCAAAACATGAGCCCCTTGATATCAGCTCTTTATTCCCTCTTTCTACTTGAGCCCCTTGATATCAGCTCTTTATTCCCTCTCTCTCACCCTACCACCCTCATGAACCTTTACTGAATTATATATTATTTTTTCATATCTTACACTGTCTGATGTATCCCTTCACCCACAGTTCTGTTACTCATCCCCCTCGAGGTGGGTTATAATTCCATCATTGCTATCAGTTCCCCCTTCCCCCCTCCTCCCTTCCCACACCCACATGAAATCGTTACTCCCATTACTGTTTCTGAGGAGTTTATCTATCCTGGATTCCATGTGTCAAAAGCTCTTATCTGTACCAGTGTACATATGCAGGTCTAGCAGGATTTGTGGGGTTGAACTGGGGCCATGATAGTGGGGGGAGGAAGCATTAAAGAACTAGAGGAATGCTGTGTTTCGTTGATGCACCCTGGATGAGTCATTCCTTCTGTGTATCCCTTCTGTAAGGGAGTTTCCGATTATCAGCAGATGGGTGTTGGGTCTCCACTCTCACCCCTCTGCTTCACAATAATATGATTGTTTCTGATCTTCTGATACCTGATTCTGTTGACAACTCATGATCACACAGGCTGGTGTGCTTCTTCCAAGTGGACTCTGTTGTTTTTCCTGTTAGATGGCCGCTTGTTTAACTTCAAGCCTTTAAGACCCCAAACATTATAGCTTTTAATGGCCAGGCATCATCAGCCTTCTTCATCACATTTGCTTATGCACCCATTTTGTCTTCAGCGATCATGTCGGGAAGGTGAGTATCACAAAGTTCCAGGTTATTAGACCAAAGTGTTCTTGTGCTGAGGGAAGACTTAAGTAGAGGACCAAAGTCCAGAGCAGGACAAATTTTAACTCTATCCAAAGAAAGTAGAACTTTCTAATTTTAAAAATAAGGGGGAAAGGTCATGAAGGGAAAGAAATATTGGCTATACGAAAGGACAGTTTTATTAAAACCAAGAAAATGGAAAGCTACCAATGAACTCATGAAAATAACAACAAACACAACCTACAAATTAGTACCCTCAACAAATAACTCATACAAATCAGCGCCTCATGCAGACTTCTGCTGGTGAATAGACAAAGGAAATAATCCATTTACAAGGGAGGTAATAGAGGTAGGTGTCTGGCACATAAAAAGGATCTGCTTCCATACCTATTACAGCCTAGAAAAACCTGAGGAGGCAGTTCTGCTCTGTCTTATAGGGTTGTCATGGGTTAGAATCACTTAACAACACACAACCAGAACAAATGCAAATTAAAACTGTAATTAGATGCCATACATTACCTATGCCAAATAATCTCTCTCTCTTTCTCTCTCTCTCTCTCTCTCACACACACACACACACACAGAGTAGATTCCCACCCAACCCCCTACCCCCCACCCCACTCCACCTGGCGCTCCTTATTCCAGACTCAAGAGCAGACACCTGGAAGAAAGACAGCTCTTTCTTCATAAGGTTTCAATCTACCAAAGAGCTGACAGTCCACTGTGAGAAACTGGTGAAAAAGGAAAAGTCCCCAGAGCATAGAGCATGAGGCTGTGGTGTAGGGAGGAGCCACAACCACTCAATCTCTCCATGTCTCCATTTTCTTGGTTGGGAAGAGGACAATGCATCTTAAATAATGTAAGCCTAGATTATAATAAAATATTTCACTAAAGCCAAGTCATTTATTTCAATTCCATTATACACATCAGTTAACCTGGAGGGTGATACAGTACATCCATACCTGTTAAATTGCTGGGCACTTGTCGGCACTGAACTAAAAATTCAAACCAGGGGTGAGCTTCATGTAATTCTTTTTTTTCCAAAAAGGGACAATTTGAAGGACTAAGTCTGTATATGAAACAAAACATCAGGTGATTACCATATAGAATAAGAGAGTTATGACTGTATTTGCTCAGCTATTAACTAGAAAAATGGAGCCTTAGAATTAAAATGTACATGGATGACAAAATATTCCTATTCTTGTGTTTTATATATCCCTGGTGATCTGGAAATAAGAGAAATTTTTAAAGATAGAGATAATATTACTTAAAATGTACTTGCTGCCAAGATGCTTATTCTTCTAAAACTATGATGAAATCTTACCAACTCTGTGAAAGATGAATGAACATACTTCATATCTTACCAATTTTTACAAAAACACTCTGTCACATTTTCAAACTAAGAGGTTGAAAAACAAAACAAAACAAACTTTACAACTGAGGCGTTAAGGATCAAACATGGCTTAACAACATGGCCTTTAAATATGTTCTATTATCAAGTAGCTTTGGGGAGAGCATTCTATGTCTAAGAAAGTAAGCCTCAGTCACCTGAACCAGAAATAGTTTCACTTCCAACTTCTAGTCTTTGTCAAACAAAATAAAAGTTTCAATGTTCTCTGTTCGTGAGTGAATACGGGCTTTGGAATGAAACAGAAGTACGTCTGGCTGACACGAGCTCGGTGCCTGAAGCAGGTTCTGATGTGAGTCTGCCAACTAACACGAACACTGCTTGTAATTCCAAAATCAATGCTCCTGGTGGGATCACAGTCATCAGTGGATATGAACAAAGCGGTGAAAAATTTCAATCACTGACATGCACGTTCCCAGCGGAGGTCGAACAAGCGAAGCTCTGCCCCCTGGTTTTTGCTTTCCTATGTGATAGTGTTCTTTTTGCAGTCTGTGCCAGACGTTTGCATTTTTGAGCTTTTTGTTAGCAATTTCACGGTTTGAAATGGCCCCTCGACGCTGAGTGAAGTGCTTTACTGAGCAACGATGTTGTCAGATTTGCTTTTTCTTCCTTCAGTCACTGTTGGCTGTGAGTTCAAGCGGAGAATCAACTACGTACATTAAATGCAGTGTTTTAAATAGAAACACACATACATCATAGGCCTATACTGGTCAGATGATAAAAATTCATCCCAAGGATTATAGGAGACTAAACCCTATGTTTCTCCACTGAGCACAGGTTCAGCATTTGCTACCTCGTGTTTATGGCAACTTCCTAGAACTTAACCACTGCAAATAATGAGCGAGACTCGACTGAACTAGGTCTCGACTGAAATCCTAGTGTGCTCAACTGTGAAACAGAAAAGGGAGTAGCACTGGAGATCCCCTTGCAGAGGGGTCTCGGGGAGGAGATGAGCCAGTCAGGGTGCGATGTAACAATGATGAGAAATACAACCTTCCTCTAGTTCCTAAAGGTTTCCTCCCCGCTCCCACTACCATGACTCGAATTCTATCTTGCAAGACTGGCTAGACCAGAGGAGGTACACTGGTACAGATAGGAACTGAAAATACAGGGAATCCAGGATGGATGAGCCCTATAGGACCGGTGGTGTGAGTGGCAAAACAGGGAGGGTGGAGGAAGAGTGGGTAGGAAAGAGGGAACCAATTGCATGGAACTGTGTGTGGCCTCCTCCCTGGGGGACGGACAACCGAAAAGTGGATGAAGGGAGAAGTCGGACAGGGCAAGATATGACAAAATACCCATTTGTAAACTATCAAGGGCTCATGCGGGAGTGGGGAGTGGGGAGGGAGGGGAAAAATGAGGACCTAATGTCGGGGGTTTAAATGGAGAGAAAATGTTTTGAGAAACGATGTACAAATGCGCTTTACACAATTGATGTGTGTATGGATTGGGATAACAGTTGTATGAGCCCCTAATAAAATGTTAAAAAAAAAAGAAAAAAAAGAAAAGGGAGTAGCCACCCTGTAAGCTTTTGTGAATAGTAAAGAAGATAAAGCTTATAAAGCTCTTAGCCCAGTGTCAGGAACATGTAAGCCCTACCTATTAGAGCCTACCATTAGTATCCATTAGTATTATTAGTGTTATTTTTGCTGACCTAGCAGCAGTTAACATTGGTCTCAGACAGGGTTCTGCAGGTTCCTATTAGACAGATACAGTGGGCTGCTGTAAGTCAGAATGGCCTGAACGCAGCGAGTGATTTTATCGATATAAACATATAAATATCTACCTATCTCAGTGTTTCCAAAAGTGAGGCAGCACTGGAATGGCTCAAAGGGGCTGCAAAAATAGACCGCTACACTTTATCCTGGATGATGAGCTATAGTACAGAAGTTTTTAATTGCCGGGAGGCACAGTAATTTTTTCCTGAAAAGGGGCAGTCAGCCAAGTAAGTCTGGGAACTTCTAATATATACATGTTGTACTACATCTAAAACAATTTGCAGGGTGGCTGTGAAATCACGGGAGTTTAGCATTCTCCTTACAACCAAAGTATCAAAGAACTCCAAGCAAATTTTCAGAATTTTCCTATCTTTAAAACTTTCAAAGCACACCTTTCATGCTCTTCTGTTCTCTAGATATTTAAAAGGTTACAGAGTAATATATTACAGAAGTTATATAACTGAAAAGCATGTGTTAAATAGCTTTGAACTAGAAGATAGACTAAGTGTGGGGATGGGGGAGACTACTTCAAAAGGGTCAGCATTCCTCATATGCATGCTTACTCTACTAGTGCTGAAAGAGGAAAGGTGAGAACTTGCTCTGAGTACTTACCTGTAGAAGTCAAGGTAGACATACAGAAGATGCTGCAGGCTGTGCTCCAGACAATAGAGAATCAAGTGAGAATGGAAATCCCAACCTTCTTTGGTCCTGTAGTTTTGAACAGGGAGAGTATCTTGCAGCACTCCCCCAATGCGGCTCAGTCTTAAAAGGAAGAGGTCAAAGTCTTCTAGCTCAGATACAAGGAAAATTCCGCTCCTGTTGGGCAGGTTTGAGGAATGGCAGGTGAAAAAGTTGTCCGGCACAGAGCAGACCAAATCACCTCCATTGTGCACATCTCAACCACTCATCAACCACTCAAAATCAAGTCTTTACAAATTAAGGTTGCCAGTTCTCACTCGATAAATATCCTCTGAGGCACACATTCTAGTTCCCAATAAAGGTTTCTGAGCCCTGGGAACGTTTAACAACAGTAGCGGGGGTCTTAGCTGTCTTCAATATAAGTTGTCTGTATTTGGTTTTGACTGGCACTGTACAACTCAGTATGGCAAAAGTTCTTAAGCTAGATGCTCTGAACACTAAGAAATCCACTAAAATATCCTAACAAAATCATGAAGAAACTAAAGCATATTAATTTGTCTACGCCTACTAAAAACGAATAACATTGACATTTAAATAACATTTTATAAATTAGTTTCATTTTACTGCTTAAATAAATCATATCCATTAAAAAAGAATAGAAACTATGTAAGATGTAGAGTTTCAAGAAATAGCATTTGACTGCCAGCCAGATTAAAAAACAGAACCAGAGTCCCCTCTGTGTGTCCCATGAGGTGCCACCAGGCCGGTAATGAAAGGCTAGCAGTTCAAACCCATCAGCCGCTCTGAGGAAGGATGACTTACGCCCTGCACATCCTCCACTCTGTCTGGCAGGGCCTGCATCGGGGTGGAACTGACGGTACTTGGTTTGGTTGTTTTGAGTGTCGCCCACCCTACCACATGTCCTTCACTTCCCTCAGGTGCAACTGGTCTTTTGTGATAACCATTCGTACTTCTCTTCAGCTTAATAACCCATGTATATAACCCCAAACAATCTATGTTTGGTTTTGCCTCTTTTGAACTTTATATATACATTTTTTGCCTGTTTCTTCTCAACATTGTACTAATTCATTCACCTTGCCATACTTGTGGCGACTGGGTGCTTCTTTGCATTATTACTTAGTATTTCTTTTTTTTTTTTTATTACTTAGTATTTCATCAGGTGATAAACTACATTTACCCACTCTACTTTTGGCTGTGCCTACATTTTCAGTAGAACTAATTTGCATTTTAATGATTATTAATGAGGAATAACAATTTCATATGCTTATTGGCCCTTTCTGTCTTTTCTCATGAACTACCTATTTGTGCAAGAGATCGTTGCTCTCCGTGTAAAAGCTCTACTCTGCACCACCCTGTCCTGTCCTGGCTGGCCCACCTGTATGCAATGCACCAGGAAGCTACGGTACCAGAAGCTCCTGTTAGGCACCAAAGGGGCTCTCTGCTACAGATGGGGAACATCTGGTCTCTGTGCAAGGCCTGTGAAATCATCAACACCAGCTAACATCTCAAACCTCACCACAGAGGTGCAGGTCCAGTCCTTCTACTAGAGTGGAGTAATTCTAAGTTTGACCGACCTGACCTGTGAATGATGTTATAAATATCCAAATGGCTTTAGGCAGAGAAAAGGTTTGGTTCTACTGTGTTATCCTATGTTAGCTGACGCCCTGCACAAAGGGTCCTCTCATCTGTATCTGTTTCCTCCTCCTGTCATAAGTCTCCTCTTGAAATGGTTGAAGGTCGGCCAATTCTTTCTGGTACAGTGACTTTGGGTATTCCCTATATTCCTTCCACACGCTCTGAATCAGTCAGCATTCTGACCATTAGAATCCTTCTAGGGAATGCACTTGAAGCTTGAATTTTTTTTTTTTTTTAGTTCGTTCAGCTTGAGATATGCTGAGCATGTTGACATGATTTAGAATAGGAGGTCCAATTTCACTTTCTACCTCATTAGGTATTTTATTAGGGCCTCATCTACTGAAAAGACCTTCCTTCCCTACTTTTGCAGTGTCGCCTTTATCACACATAAAGTGACACACATGTAGAGGTCTGTTACTGTGTTCACTACTCTGCTCTCCTGGTCTGTCTGTCTGTCTGTATCTCTACCGAGAGCCCACGGCATTACTTAATCTAACTTTAGAATAAATTTTGATATCTGGTAGGTAAGTTCTTTCTCAGACCCTGGTCCTTTACATTTGCATATCAATCTTTAGAAACAGCCTGTCAAAATCCACAAAGAACTTGATGGAATTTTTACTGAGCTTGCCACTGTAACCAAAGACCCACAGTAACTCTTTATGGAATGTATTCTTATCCCCTTCTAATTCTCAAAGAGACAGCTTGTGATGTTTCAATAAGTAGGATGTTGGCTGGAAGGTTTTTTGGTGTTTTTTTTTAATAACCCTTTGCAAATTAAAAGGAACCCTGGTGGCATCGTTGGGCTACTAACAGAGAGGTCAGCAGTTCAAACCCACCAGCCATTCCATGGAAGAAAGATGAGGCTGTCTGCTCCTGACAAGATGTACAGCCTCAGAAACCCAGAGGGGCAGTTCTACTCTGTCCGAGTTCAACTGTCTGTGAGTTGAATTGGCCCAGCGGCAGTGAGTTTGGTTTTGGTTTGACTTCAAGTTAAAGGTGTTTCTTCCATCTAGTCTTACTTCGTTAAAATGATAAAATGTGGACTTGAATTTTATCCAATACTTTTTACTACATCTATCAGGATAGTATGGTTTCCTTCCTTTAATCTCTTAATTTAAGTAGATTTCATTATTTATGCTAAGCCATTTATCAACTTTTAAACAAGCCAAAATAAATTGCAATCATATTATAAATTGTTATCTTTAGTACACAATACGAGCATTTAGTGCAATGGAAAGAGCAGTGGCAATAAAGATTAAAGGATTCAGGTCTGTACCGAACTGGTGCAGTTGAAGCTTTAACTTCTCTCTCATGCAGCTATACTTCACCAATAAGCAGAAGGAGAAAATTAAGGCAAGGGAAAGAAATTTAACAACTTAACAAGTACCATACGTGCTTTCCTAATAGAATTTCAATTGCTGCAACACCAGCTCCCACGAAGCAGACTTAGACACGCGGTAGCCCTAAGGGATCAGAGGAATTGTGCTCCTCTGGTGGCTCTCCTTTTCCTAGGCTGATTTTTGGAAACCTATCACCACACCTTTCTTTCAACAAACGGATGGGTAGAGTCTAACCTCCAACCTGTTGGGTGGAAGCTGAGTGCTTCAATCTTCTGTTATTAATAGTTTAGGAAGACAGATTAGGTTGATTCACATTTTGACCTAAACAAACAACCACTTCCCATGGTTTAACCTAACAGGAATAAAACAAAAGCTTAAAATACTCTTTATTTCAAGAGCAGTGCAAACAGTTAACACATTTTAGTTGCTAACTGAAAGGCTAGAGGTTCCTCCTGTCCACTTACAGGCCTTGAGAAAGAAAGGCCTAATGATCTACTTTTGAACATTCAACCCCTGTGGAGCACAGTTCTCTCTCACACAGTCACCAGGAATCAGAATCGACTCAATGACAACTGGTTGCTGGTTTGAATTTCAAAACCGCAAGCATAGGTACAACGAAGATACTGCAAAGAGGGGGAGATGGCCACAGGATACGAAGGTGTCCGCGTCGTAGCTCTTGTAGTCTTACTCACAGATTAGCATTTCTACATCAGAGCACTTCAAAGGTTTGGGAAGAACCCACAAATAAGAGAGCCCACTCACAACTAGATGATGTTTAATGCAAATGATTTCAATACCTCAGCCTACGACAGAGCCCTTCAATTTAAAATGACATGAAATAATGTTCACTGGATTGATGGCATTTCAAAGGAAAGATTACATCACTATTTTTTATTGTTTTATCTTTTTAAATTCTGCCCAGTGATGATTACTGTAACATTTACAATACCTGGCCAACTTATCTAAAATTTCATTCCTCATGTAGTTGTTGCAGCAGGTGTTCTGATCAATAACATCAACAGTCAGAGGAGGCCATTTGTTCTGCTGTAGCGAAGCCCCGCTGTCCTGGCTCTGCAATTCTCTGATCCATAAGCTAATGTTTAACCAATCGTGATGAGCTGTGAGGTGTCTCCAGAGGGCTTCCGGAGAGTAAGATTTGTAATCTACATGAAGAACAAACACATCTTAAACTAGTAGTGATTATGATTATTGACATGTAGCTCAATATGGAGTTAACTACTGAGTAAATACAAGAATCCAGACATAAATATTTACATATGATTATTCAAGGCCTCATCTTCTTTGAGCGTTTTCCTCCTTTGCCTTGTTTATGTTATAGAAATGAAGCCAATGGAAAAGCGACACTTTGCTTCTTGTTACTATAGCAGTCAGAAGGAAACCAGGGAAGAAGCTGTGTGTTTCATTTATCTTTTCAGTCCTCTGAATTCCTTTGCCCCACCTTAGTAGAAATTTTAAAAACTTTGGACCCCATATAAACAGGAGTCTAACGTTCTGTGAATGCCGGATGTACCACTGCTAGCTATTCCCGAGCCCTCATGTGATTGAGACACCCCCCCACCCCCACCCCAATACACACACTGTAAGAAATGCAAAGACCATCTGGAAAAACAAAGAATGCTGCTTTGAGACTGGGATGAAACTTAGCCTTAAAATTTCCATTCACTGCTTGGCCAACTGAACCCATGCCTTTTCTCCTTCACTATCGCACGATAAATCCTTCACAATCTTAATACACATGAAAGTGGTCTTAAGGCAATGACTTGTATTTTAAAGCAAGGAAATACATTTTCCCTCAAAAAAGGAACTCTGAGCTGGAGGCCCGCCAAACATATTCAAATATCAATACTTAATTACATTCAGCATGTTCAAATTCCAGTTGACTTGCCTTCTGTACTTATCCTGGGAAGAAGGATGGATTCTTGTGTTTGTTGATCCCACCACTGAGCCCAATTTAACACCATTCGAAGGTCCTGTTTGTTACATTCATCTTTATTGCATTTCAGGACCGAGTCCAAAACAGATTTGTGCTTGGAAAAATCTCGTTCTTTTATCCAGTACCTAAAACAATGATATAAATTTCTTTCTTATGAGTTTAGGAACTTCTACTCCTTTGTGGGGCATATTCCTAATTTTGTATTTAATATCTTAAAATTATATTTGATTATGAAAATATTAAAACAGAAAATTCCAAGTCCCTTCTGTTTGATAACATATTTAGATGCAAGATTTATCTTCACGGGAAATGTAAACTGAGTTCCACATAAAAAACCCATGTTGTCCAGACTGCTACAGAGACGAACCCGCAACACGGGGAACTCAGGACAGAGAAACCCCACAGGGCCAACAAGGAGAATAGAGATACCAGGAGGATAAGGGGAAAGTGGGGGAGAAAAGGGGAATCGATCACATTGATATACCTATAACCCCCTCCCAGTGGAACGAACAACAGAAAAGTGGGTGAAGGGCAACAGAGGATGATGTAACATATGAAAATAATAATCTATAACTTATCAAGGGTTCGTGAGGGAGGGTTGGTGGGGGAAGGAACGGGAAAAATGAGGAGCTGATATCAAGGGCTCAAGTAGAAAGAAAATGCTTTTAAAATGCTGATGGCAGCATATGTACAAATGTGCTTGACACAATGGATGAATGTATGGATTGTGATGGGAGATGTAAGAGCCCCCAATAAAAACTAAAATCCATGTTCACCAACAATTATAAACGAGACTTTAACTAGAATGCGTTTCCTAGAATATCACAAAAGGGTTAATGGGACTGACTACCTGGGAAAGGGCTGGATTTGCGTTTTTTCTTGGGACTGTCCCGAGTACAACTTCTCAACTTGATGCACAAAATCTATTGTTCTTTTTTCATTTTCAGAAAAACAATTTTTCTCTTTTAAAATTTCAACCTTGAATTAAAAAAAATCATTAAAGCGGGGACCTCAAAAACATCTAGCACATAAGTGAATCAAATCTCTAGACATCAAATATAAGGGCTGTATTTAAATTTATGAGTAAACATATATAGCACACACAAATTTTAGTTGGTCACAAATCTAAAGTAATAATTTAAAACCACTTCTACTTAGTTAGTGCCAGTTATATAATATGAAAATTATTTCGCTTGAAGTGTCATCAAATTTCTCTATTACAGAAAAGCAACCTGGTCTCACCTATACCTACCAAAAAGTCCCGTATACTTTTATCAGCTGTATAGAAACATATCTTGAGCAACTGGTCTTTTACATCAAAACCCTAAAAATAAACAGAAAACAAGAAACAAACAAACAAAATCATACATTTTGTAATGGGACATTTTGAATAGCGATGTTGGATATGGAAGTACTCTATGAGAGGTATCCGCATCTTGTTACAATTCCAGAGCTTTTCTGCTCTTGCAGACATTCAGTCGCCTACTCTTAACAAGTATTTACTGCCCATCCCTAAGCTCCTTGAGCCTTTTGCCCAAGAGTGAATACAGCATAATTTAAGGTAAATGGCAACTTACCAGAGGACCCAAATCACAGGAACCTGCTGCGAAGATTTGTGTGAAAACAAAGGTGACCTAAACCCTTGTACAGTTCCATTCCGGTACACCTAGAGCAGCAGTTTTCAACCTGTGGGTGGTGACCCCTTTGGGGGTCAAATGACCCTTTCACAGGGGTCACCCAATTCTTAACAGTAGCAAAATTACACTTATGAAGTAGCAATGAAAATAATGTTATGGTTGGGGGTCATCACAACATGAGGAACTGTGTTAAAGGGTCACAGCATTAGGAAGGTTGAGAACCACTGACCTACCAGAAGTCTGCGGGCGCAGGACCCCATCCATGCAGATTTGGGCCAGATCTCAGCTTAGTCCACAAGCTCTACCTGGATGACTGCCTCTTCTCAAATGAATTAAAACCATGGGGCATGAAGGCACAGAAAAGGCTTAATATACGAGAAAGCTCAGAGTGGAGATGTAAGGGGTCACATGAACATGAAAGAATGTCCCCCGATGAATGACATTCTGTACATACTTTATAGGAGCCCTCGTGACATAGAGGGTTATGCTTTGGGCTGCTAACTGCAGTTCAAACCCACCATTTGTTCAGAGGGAGAAAGATGAGGTTCTTTGACTCCCACACAGATTTGCAGCTTTTGAACCCCAAAGGAAAGCTCTATTCTGTCCTGCATGGTGGCTGGGTTGGAATCGACTCCATGCCAGGGGACAGCACATGCTTTGACAGGTTTGAAGTCTGCGCTGAGAAACACTGTATCCTTCTAACCAAAGTGCAAAATCTAACAGAGAGCAGACAATGGGGAAGGCATTTAAAATCAGCTTCAAGCAAGTGCTCAGGACCAAAGAATGCTTCTCTCTATTAACACTCCTACTGTTTCCTGGCAAAGGCTACCAAATTACTCAGACTGTGGCACAACTATAACTGCAAATCAACTTTGATGCCAACTTTAAAGATTGCCCTTAATGACGCACACAGCACCTCGAAGGGATATGTCCAGTGCATATGCCACTCACCATATTCCTCAAAAGCTCAGAGGCTTCCTTTATGTTGTTCTTTCTTAGGTTGTCAAAGACCACACCTAGGCCAATTTTAATCAGCTCTTCCAGTCTTTGAGCAGAATGACCGTTCATCCTGAGGAAGGTTTGTGCCTCTGGGATTCTGTTGTTTAAGATGGCATTGGCAATAACTTCCTAGGAAAAAGGAAGAAAAAGACTTGCCTTCTTTTAAAGTTCCTTTTTAATTTCCTTACTATAACTTTGTTCATTTGATCATGAAGATAGCAACATTTCATTTAATTAAATCTACTATTAGATTTTGGATGAGACACAGGGGATATGAAGTTAACTAAACCCAGGTGCTCACTGTGTAGTAGAAGACAGCACAATATGCTGTAGGGCTGTAATAAATCTGTTCCTGGGATGTTAGGGAGGAGGGTCCTGGGGGAGAGAGAGAAAAGAGGAAGGGAAGAGCAGGTGCTCTGGAAAAAGAGTAAATATTATATGCAGGGGCACAAAGGTAAGACATAGCATCACATCTTCAGGGAACTCAAAATTGATCAACATTAAAAGAAAATAAAAAACTAGAGAGAGGACAAGAAAAGGCTGGACAGAAAAGCAGAGGTACTTTTTTGATCAGCTCAGCTAAGCTATTATGGCTTCTGTCTTTCCAAGGTCAACACCCTCCATGCAGGTGGAGAGGTTCTTCCAGTCCCTAGTCATAGGGGGCAGCACATTCTGACTGCACTACCCTCCTCCATGAAAAAAAAGAGAAAGAGATGAGTTTAGAAACATAAGCTGATTTAATGGGTAGGGTGTCTTAACTCGCAACTGACATAGGGCTCAACTCAAGCATACTTTCAAGCAGTAATGTCAAGACATCAAAAAGTTTCCTAAAATAATTTATGTATGCAGAAATCAGACCCCAACTAGTAAGGAAGTATCAGTAAGGGACACCATGTGTCCACATGGTGTCAGGTGGGGTATTTGTCATCAGGGTTACACGACAGATCTGACATGAATAGGGACTCTATTTGTGTTCTTAATTACATAAAAAGCACTTGTAGATGTAAAACAGACGTGTGCAGATGCCAAAATCTATAAAACCTTAGCCAAACATTCAGAACAATTACGGATCCTAAAAAGTCCAGTTTCTTAAAATCCACTGAATCTGGCAAACCAAAGAAATAGTATTACTCAAATTTACCTTAAAGCTGAGTTTCTCCCATATGTTGCTCTCCTCTACTTTGGGGACATTTTCATTTACACCACATCCATCCACCCCACATCCATTCAAAGCTTTTGTTTGCTTCCAAGGAAACTTTATCAGGAAGGTTCGAAGCTCATTAATGTAGCTGGTCAAAATGTGCACTCCTTTCTGCAGAGGTTCATCTAGCTCTGTGGAGAATGCCATGGGCCATTTCAGAGAAACAGAGAATTTCTTGCACTGTTACAAAGAGTTCTGGAAAATGTCAAAACTTCAACTCTGTTTTCAAATTTCAAACAATAAGTGTTTGACTTTTTCCTGTTTGCAACTCTGTCTGTTTTAAGACCTTTGTTCCATTCTCTTCGTTATGATCAGTGCTGGAGCTTTCCCCCAACTGTCCCACTCTCGCTTGCTCAACTGCACACTGGCTTTTGCCCCACTTTGGCAATGGCCTCCACTGGCTTGTACTCGCTCCCACAACAGGACCATGAATACCTCTGTCCTGCTCTAGGAAAGATACCATTTTCTCCCTCTAGCTGCTATTCTTACCTTCAGTGTGAACAAAAAGCTCTTTTATTTGTTTGTTAAGGAAGGTCAGTGTAAGATTAAGCAATTGTTCTGAAAAGTGTTTGCTTTGAGTCTCAGAATCACTTTCTCTAATTGCTGAGCAAAGTAAATCCAATGCTGGTGTTAGTTCTTCTACATCTGGGAAAGAAAAAAAATACATACTGGGTTACTCTCAATAAATAAATAAATATATATATAAAATATTTTTGTTGCAATATAGTATTTTAAGTTTTAAGAACTAAGGAGAATTGATACAAAAAGCTCACAGAACTTTTACATAGTCTTATACCAGCAAACTTCATATGATTCTATTTAGTATTTCTTACTATGTACTTTGATTATTAACTACTATTTTGCTGACTACCTGCTATATCTTTTTTTTTTTTTTACCTGCTATATCTTAAGTGTTATACTTAAACCCCAAACCAAGGGCACTGCCCCTGAATTGACTCTTGTCCACAGGAGCCGAGAGCTTCATCCTTCTCCCTTGGAAAGGAGTGGCTAGTAGATGTGAACTGCTAGCCTTGTGGTGAGAAGCCCACTGCCTAACCCATAGTGCCACCGGGGCTCCTGGTATTATACTTCACAAACAAACAAACAAACACCCAAAACAACTCACTGCTATTGAGTCATGTCCAACTCATAGAGGCCCTATAGGACAGGGTACAACTGCCCCTATGGGTTTCTGGGACTATTACTCTTTACAGGAGTAGAAAGTCTCAGTTTTCTTCCTTCGAGCAGCTGATGGTTTCAAACTGCCAACCTTGCAATTAGTAGCTCAATGTGTAACCCACTATGCTACTAGGGCCGCTGGTATTGTACTTAGGGTTTATAAATGTCATCACATTTATTTCTTACAATAACCTAAGAGAGAGGTGTCATATCCTTTATATAGGAGAGGATATTGAAGTTCAGAGAGGTTAAGTAACTCATCCAAGCTAATTTGGAAGGTAAGTGGCAGAGCAAAAATTTAACTTAGTTTGTCTGATGCTCAAACCCTCCTTTCAAACACTCAAGGGAAGGCCTGAAGTCTGGGCTCTTAAATCTCTGCACTGGCTTTACTTCCAGAGCAGGGTCTGTGTGAGTGAGAAGAACAGGGAAGCAGCTGAGGTACCTAGTCTCCTGCTTCTTTCCAGCCTCAACACCCTACCCTGCAGGGCAGACCAGTGCAGCCAGGAGTGGAGTGAAAAGAAGTGGCTGACCACCAGCAGTAGTGGATTGTGGCCATGCAACGAACTGCTCACCTCTGCAGACCCAACCTTTTCCTCTAAGATCAAGCACATTAAAAATAAAATCTGAGCATTAAAACAAAAAGGCAATCCAAAAGAAGCAGCCCAAACTTTTCACCAAAGCACGAGGACATTCAAAACTGAAAACCTTCCAATTTCAGACTCATAATGAAAACTAAGACAGAAGTCAAAGGGAAAAAAGTAAGTTGTCATTTTCTACACACACACCATTAATAGCACATTGGTATCTACTGTCATAGAGTCAATTCCAATTTGTAGGGACCCTGCAGGAGAGAGTAAAACTGATTCAGAGAGTTTCTAAGACTGAATCTTTCCCAGCACAAACCACGCCATCTTTCTCCTGCAGAGCAGTTTGGCCACTTACCTCTTGGCTAGCAGCCCACCTAACCCATGCCCCTTCTTTAGCATATTGATGACGACAGGAATGAGCGGGACCAATATAAGAGTCTAACAGTCATTTGACTGATGAAATGCCCCCATAAAAAGTGTATCAACCAGTAGTAATCTATATGCTTTCAAGAGAGAGCAGGTGATAAAACTCTATGTCCAGAAGAAAACACACTTTATGGCTCTACCTCCCTAAATCTCACGAATAAAAGCTAGGTTTCCTGTTTATTACAAAGAAAAGCCAAAATCTTGAAAAGAAGCTTTGGTAAGCAGAACATTCAGGCTAAAATTTGTCTAACAAGTCCCAAGACACAGCTCAGCCAGCTGTCAGTTCGTACACATATCAGACAGTTTCTAGAGTGTCAGTATTACCAATGCTAATACCTTACATACTGAAAATGCACAGTACAGTACAGGATATGAACAATAAATATCTCATGTAGAATAAGAACATTTATAAATTCTCACAACTTTCTCAAGTTTCCACAAATACATAAAATCACTTGACAGAATTTTGGCAAGTAAATATGTAAGTCATCCAAAAAAAATGAAAGTGATTGAAAAAAAAAGTACAAATGTAGAAGCCGTTAGTCTACTTACTTCTTAAGTATAAATCAGATGGAAAGTGATCATATTGACCGAGCACAGAAGAATTTGAGGATGGAGTTAAAAGATTTTCTTTGCTCTTCAGAAAGAAATCTACTGTGTCCAGCTGACGATTTTCTATCCCAGCCTAAAAGGGATGGGGGTGGGAGGTAACATGACAGAAAAGGGGAATAAATCAAAATGCAGTTTTTTGGTTAGAACTTAATGAGCTGCAATGGCAGGAAACACACCAGTGTTTTTATTGTCCACAAGGAGCTGGAACCCAACAGGGACTACTGAAGTGATGGGCGCAAGTCCTTCTCACTGTCCTACAACAGTCTCCGCTGCAAGGCCACAAACCTCGTCCAGTTTCAGAATTCTACCCTCTCTCAAGGGTAGGTACTTGGGGATCATTCTTACAGTTTAGTCTGTGTGCATTAAAATGTTAGCAGCAAGATAGAATTTGAGAAAACAAAAACCCCAACTCTAAGTCTTGCCTAGGCATCTTGAGGGACTTTTTTATACAAAATACCTAAAATGATGGGTTTAAATATATAGGGTCTCTATGAGTCAGAACTGACTTGAAGGTAGTGGGTTGGACAAGAAAAGGATTACAGTCCTAGAGGACAACTGGGAGGAAATCCAGAGAAGTGCCAGCCTAAAGCTACCTGGAGACACGTGAAAATCTCTGATGACTTAGAGGGAATGGAATTTTGCCAAAGGACTATGAACCACTTCAATGGTTTGCCCCAAACAATGCATCATTTGACTTCTGGACTGCTGAATTTATGAGTGCTGATTGCAGATCCAGTAAAATGGAACCCTTGACAACTTCAAATTTCCTCCATTGATCACGATGCTGCTTACTGGTCCAATCGTGAGGACCCTCGTTTTCTTTGTCGCGATGTAACCCACACTCAAGGCAGCTGTAGTCTTTCAGTAAGGGCTTCAAGCCCTCTTCCCTTTCAGTCAGCAGGGTTGTGCTATTTGCAGGTTGTTAAGGAGGCCTCTTTCAATCTGATAACACATTCTAAGAGTCCAGCTTCTCAGAAAATGTATCATGTGGCTCTGATTCCAGCTCTGATTTTGTCAGCATGGCTGTGGGCCAGTCATTTAACTGTGTTGAACCTACGTTTCTTCATCGTGAAAAGGAATTAAAAACTACCCAACACATCTCATGGGATGCTTTAGGACAAAAATAGGTAATGTGTATAAAAGAGCATTTGTAAATTGCAAAATGCTATATAAATTCATGTTTTTTTATGTCCCTTTGACAGCTAGATTAGAAGAGCAGGGGTAC